CTCGGGAGGCTGAGGCAGGAGAATGGCATGGACCCGGGAGGCGGAGCTTGCAGTGAGCTGAGATCCGGCCACTGCACTCCAGCCTGGGAGACAGAGTGAGACTCCGTCTCAAAGAAAAAAAATAATAATAATTAATTAATTAATCTAAAAAATCAACTAATTGGTTAACACCTATGTGCAGGTATTTGAGAAGCCCCCCCCGAGGGTGAAGAATTTGGCATCTGACTGCGCTATGACTCCCGGAGGGGCAGCCGCAACATGCACGGGGAATACCAAGACCTGACCACCACGGGCACTGTCACCCAGTGCTACCCAGACATGGGATCCCCACACCATGCCCCGCCCACTCCATCTAGCTTATGAAGCTGGAGGAGATTGTCCCCAGCAAGTGCCACCAGCCCACAATCAAGCAGTTCCACAACTCCAAGAACAAGTTCCCGCTGCTCCACTGGGTCCTGTGCTGTCAAGGCAAGCCATGCTTCACCACCAAGAGACCCAACACCTTCTTCTAGGTGCCAGGCCCTCTCACCCAGGTGTGCCCCAATTAAACTCAGGAACACCCTGGTTTAAAAAAAAATCAATTAATTTTGATTTGTAAATTACTTGATGAACAAGGTATCAAAATTTAACTGTCTAACTCCTATTCTGAGAGGGAATCTCAAGATACTTGATGTCTACACTTACCCAGGAGAAAGACCTGGGTTTACTCTAACGTCTTCTCCACTGGGAGCTTTGGGCTAACAAGGGCAATCTTGTCATATGCTTTGCTAATGCCTCTCATCACATCTGCACTGAAGGTTAACAGATGATATCATTCTCTGAATCCCCAAGTCCACACCATCCCCTGGCAACTGTGACATATACGTGTACCAACGTGGGTGCCTCTCCCTCTGTAGTCTATGAAAAACTAGAAATAAGAATGGAGGAGCAGTCCAGAAACTGATCCATTATTTGGGGGAATTTTCAGGACTCTAGCCCTTTGAAAGTGAACCCAAAGATGGCTCACAGAAGAAAATGAAGTCTCTGGAATTGACTTCCTGATCAGCACGGACATTTCTGGATAGACCTGTAGCATACCTCATCTTTCTGTGAAGAGGAGAGGCATAAAAGCCTTTGGAAAGGCTGTACAAATGTTGAGTAACTTTTAAAATGCCAAAGTCATTAGTTGATTATAAATCATGAGCAAGGAAAAGGAAAATAAGAGAGAAAATGGAGAGATAAGAAAAAGAGGAAGGAGAAAAGGGAAAGAGGAAAACTAATAAGGTAAAAACTGATTAAAGGGGAATAAAAGATCCAGATATAATTTATTTTCATTCAATGATTCATGCATTCATCTCGCAAACATTCAT